AACCAAAACAGGATTTTCTTCTAAATGAGATAGAAAGCCACTGGAAGATTCTGAGCAGAGGAATGACATGTCTTCAAAGGATCATTCATTTATGCTATGTTGTCTGTTGGCGGTCAACAGCAGAAGTAGGAAGACTGCTTAGAAAGTTGTTGCTCTCTTTGCACTTCTTATAACACTAATCACAGTGTTAACTAAATAATTTATTTTGTAACATTTTAATATATTTCTTTCTGACTGACTATAGCTTTATGAAAGCAGGGAGAAATTAGATCTTGTTCACTCATGAATCTTCAGTGTCTGGTAGATGCCCAATAAGGAATTGGTGAGGGAAAGTAAAATTGCATGAATGAATGAATGAAAGCATGCATGCTTCAGATGCTTAACTAAATAAAGACTTAGTTCCTGGATATTATCTATGTTTTTGGTTCCTCCTTTTCATTTCTTCTTCTTATTTCCATTTCTTTTTCTTTAAACTTAATGTCTGGTTTTAAAAATAATTTTCAATATGCATGAATAATTCATGAAAATGAGAATTCAGTCATCATTGACTAAAGAATTTGAATATAGAATAACTTTAATGTTTTTAAATCTAAATGCAGATGTGATAGGAAAACAAACAAAACTATGACTGCACTGAAATACATATTTCTTTCTTGTGAACAAATTTAAACCCTACAGAATAGTAAGACATTTTCTTTACTACTTTGTGGAGTGAAACTGATGATGAGTGAAATATTCTGCAAAATCAAAGGGATCATCTCTGGAAAATTGCAGAAAAATAAAAACTGGCTTATTCTTATATTGCAGATACAGCGATCACTAGTAGGACGACATAGAAAATAATATTCAAAAAAGAAGGAAATTAAATATCTATATATCCAATGCTATCTGTTTCAATAATTATCCATTTAATTATGATTTATTTATTTTTGTCTTATTTTATTTGCAAATGATTTATTTTACTATGTGTGGTTTTATATTTCAGCATCTCCACATCATCACCATGGGCTGTTGTTTTACCCAAGCTTCAAGAAGTGATCCCAGCACTGCAGTAGGACCAGCTCCAGGTGTCAATGACAAGTATTAGATCACGAGGTAGAGAAGCGTGGCTTTATAGTAAAAACCTCCTTGTATCCACTTTTATATTCTTCTGATATATTCAAGGTGGAGTATGAGCAATTTCTAAGGGCACAGATTCTTTTATTACCTCTGTTGTATCAACACGTCTCCCTGAGCTTACACCTGTATCTTAGGAGCGCTCCTTACAATCAGACCAGGCGGGGGAGGCCAGGGGAACAAACGCCCTGTTCATGAATGGATAACAATAGTTACAGTGAGTAAAACGTGGACTGTTTTTATACTACAGCTTCTCTCAGGGAGACAATGGTGGGGGGAAATCTTCCAAGTTGGCAGACTTTTTAACAGGACACCTAGACGGTTGCCTTAGGTAATAAGGTATATTCGGCAAAGGCAAATGGCTTTGCTGGTTGGTGAGAGCAACTGGTAACATTGTAAGATTAGAGACAAAGGGTTCTAGATGACTCATCGAAAGAAGTTCAGCCAGCCCCTGTCCTCATACACCCCAGTGCTTACGCAGTGCATCCAGGGATGAAATAGCCATGGTGGCATAATGCATGAGACCTCCTGCATGGGCTCCCTCTTGCTAAGGTGGTACTAGGTATTGCTGCTATTGAATGTCAAGCCAGTCAAAAGCAGAGACCAAAGTTGAGTACTTGGCGTGGTATCATCCATCAAGGAGACCAACTAGCCACTTGGTGGCAAGTTGAAAACATCAGACCACTTCTACCCTGGAGGGAGTGGGGATTTGTCCTAACTCAAATTGATAGCCATTCTGCACATAGAACTGCCTTTCTTTCCCATGGTATCTTGGACTGCATCACTATTAAAAGGCTTATAGAGTGTCTGATTTATCATCATAAAATGCTCAAAAACATCACTTTGGATCAAAGGTTCCACTTTAAAGAGAAGGAGGGGTGACGATGACAAATAATCAAAGCACGTGCTGGCTCTACCAGATCATACATTACGTGGCCCTCTAAGATCAGAGCTAGGGCGCCAGCTTGGGGATGCCACCTTTGGGTTTGGGACATGGTCCTTCAGGATAAAGCATATTATTTCAAGCAAGAACTATCACATAGGACTGTGTTCTTAACAGCTCGGAAACATGAGCCCAGGACCAAAGTGGTGGAATTAGAATTGATCCTTCTCATCACCATTCCCAATTACTCACATAGGGAATTAAAGATTTCCATTCCTGCAACTTTAGGCTCTTCTGGACTGAAGGTCCTATTTCCTGGAGTGGGGAGTTGGGGGACGTATTCTTCTATCCGCATCTCTAATAAGAGTTCTCACTCCTGAGAAAGAGGCACTCAATAAATACTTCGTGGTTGAGAAAAAGTGTGTGTGTGTGTGAGAGAGAGAGAGCAAGAGAGAGCGAGATGTTGTCTGTGCTTCCATGTCCTTCTGTTCTCCTCACTAGCTCCCTTCAGTGTCTCCTCCTCGGCTCTCTGAACCCACAGGCCAGAAGCAGCAGGCAGTGGGAGGTCTTTTGGAATTTGTTTTGCCTACTTATAGATCAGTTGAAGAATGTGGTATTCTCTTTCTCTCAGTAATGTTGAAGGTATGGATTACGAATCATTTTGTTTGCTCTCTTTATTGATTTTATGTTTGTTTATTGCTTTGTTTTGTTTATTCCAGAGAGTATGATGGAATATTAGAATCAGATCACCACATTATCCTTCAGACCTAGAGGTTCTCTTCAAGTGTGTATTTATACATTTCCTCAAACTAACTGTGTGGAATATATTACACAAGAGGGAAAAGCAACTTTACTATTATATTACCATCTCAGCCAAAATATTTAAGAATGCACATTTCTTTTACAATTGTAATTCAAAACAGATATTTTATAGATGTTTAACAATAACAATGTCTATTAAACATATTTTTTGTTTCTCTAGCCATCAAATTTTATCTTTTGATAAGTATTTAAAGATAGACATTTTAAGAATAAGATTTGATTTGATTGATCTTTTACTAAGAGTCATATTAGGTGATATAAAATGTGCTCTAACACAATCTGTTTTTTATTTCACTCCTTGTAAGAATCACATCTTATCTTAAAGTTCCTAACCATGATTCAATAAAAAGTAGCATGTCAGAAGCCTCGGCTGGCTTCCTGTTGCCTATTAAGAATGAAATAAACCAAAAGAAAGTCTGAGTTTGCTTTCACCTAATGTTATTCTGCAAATATTTGCTTTCACATAATACAAATGAGGAATTCTTGAAAGAAAAATGACTCAACAAGCAATTAATTATATACTCCATTGTTATACCTCTGGTATTGTTCTTTAGAGTTTATGAGTTACATTGAAATCCCAGCTCTGATATTTAATAGCTATATATGATCTTGATGAGTTACTTATCTTCTGTGAGATTCAATTTCCTCATTTGTAAAAATGACAATATTAATCGTACCAGCTGTTTTAAGGAGTAAATTTAATAATGTGAGCAAAAGCACTTAGCATGATGCCTGGTGGTATGCTCTCAGTAAATATTTAGTTGTTTGTTTCCCACTTAATTGCCTCTCAATCACTCTTCTTTCTCCTTTTTCCAACTTCCTTCCTTATTTGCTTTATTTAAATTTTGCATTAACTATGGATATATATCTATATTTATGATAAAATGAATGAACATTGTATATCATTTATTACATATCATACATGTATATAATACATATATATAGATACACATATATAAGAATGTGTATACATATAATGAGGTCAAATATATATAATCAGTCTGATATAGATATATATTATATATTTTTTTCTTTTTTTTTTTGGTGAGGAAGATTAGCCCTGAGCTAACATCTCTGCCAATCTTCCTCTATTTTTGTATGTGGGACACCTCCACAGCGTGGCTGACAAATGGAGTAGGTCTGCACCCGGTATCCAAACCCATGAATCCCAGGCCACCAAAGCAGAGCTGTGGGACTTTAACCACTTGGCCACGGAGCTGGCCCCCCAATCTGACACATTTTTGATGATGTTGTTCTTACTTCTTTCTCTGTTGATTTCCCTACACTTCTGTGATCTCTGTGCTCCGTTAGGGGACACTAGTTTCAAATGTCTGAACCCCCAGTAATGCTACTGCGTATGCCGGGAGTATCTTCTCCAAGGCCCCTACTCCTTCCCTGCATCCTTCAAGATTCTTAAGTCTTACATCTTTACGAAAAATATCCACCATACACATACCTCACCTCTGTCCCCATGGAGGACTACCTACACCTTCCTCTGCACCGTCATTATCTTTTCGAAATATCTCCTCTCGCTATGGCATACGTGTTGTCAATCTACTAAACTGTGCAATCCTTGAGGCTAGAGATCATGCATTACTTATTAATCGTGGCGCTTGTCACATAACAGATACTCAATGAATATTTGTTGAATGTGTTAAATTAAAAGACCTTTATGGTCATTAATTCCAAACATCTGTATAAAGAAGGAGTCCCTTCTACATTCCACAGAGATGCTCATTCATCCAGTGCTTAAAGACTTACGCATCTCATTTCTTTCCCTTTGATTTCAATAGGTTAGATGACTTCAAAAAAATAATGCTTGTTAAGGACCAGTCTACTGGCACGCATTTGGGTTATAAATGCGCAGGCGTTCAGTTTATCAATTCCTAGTTAAATAGCAGCTCCTGTTGAAAAGCACTTAGAGATTTTAGCTCCATATAAGTTAACCAACATGGTAATGCTATTGTTTGTAATATTAAGTACGTTATAATTTTAAGTTTAAGGAAATATTATTCCCACTAATTTTCACATAGGGAGTTCACGACTGGGGTATCATGTCCAAGTCTGATATCTTGTAAAAGAAATACTGATAAACTAGCATTCCAGGAAGAGGGCTATTAGAAATAAGAGGAGAGAAACCACATTTGGAAGAAATAGAACACATACACATTTAACTTACGTGTTAATTCACCCTCCTTAAAGACGTGACTTCACTCATTCATTTCATCCTTAAAAGAAGGAACAAACATAGATGTACTAAGCTTAGAAAAACTTGGTATTAAAACAACACGGTGTAAACCCTATAGGCAGATAAGAACACTTTAGAATTTTTTCTTCATTCCCCATTTACCACTATGGTTTTGTCAGTTATGTATAAGATAAAATGGCTTGAATTCCAGACGGCTACGTGCAGACCTGCTTTCATCGTGGGTCTACGATGTAGCGTTGCGCCCACTACAGAATGTGCACATTTTAAATGGATGACTTAAGGGATTTCCAATCTAATTTCATTTTAGCTATCATCTTCTTTCCACCATTCTTGCTAACTTTAGAATCAAAACCGCCAGGTACAATGTAATATGAGAAATTCTTGAGAAGATTTGAAGAGTTAAAACTGGAGAAGAGATGAATTAGAAGGAAAATGATAAATGTATTCAAATACTTGAAGGATATCAGTCATGCTCTAGAAAGTTAGAAATAAGAATTTGAACAAACGTGTGAAAGTTATAAGGAGACACATTTCAACTTTACAGAAAGAAGTGTTAACAGGGGAAGACAACCTTGTTTTAGTGGTGGAACTGAGCTGGATATATAAACAACATATTATTAATAGGCAATATATATATTTTTTCCCCTAGATCCATTTTCCGCCCTTATTTTTCTCAATATCCTTGGAGACCGCTCTCCATGGCCTTCATCACAGGCCTCTTTGCCCACTGGATTCCTGGGTGCTGCCACTTATGGTATGAATAAGAGAACAGAAAGTGAAATGACAATGAGGCAGTGTACTTGTCATCGCTCAGCTGAAGATCACGGTCACTGTTACGCAGCCCTCTCTACACGGGCCTCTGTTCTCTTCTTCCAGTTACTTCTTCTCCTTGCCACTTCAGGCCTTGGGGGTTCCTCTCCTATATGAGACAAGCCCAAGGAAATTGTGAAATTCAGCATGATTTTCCTGTACCCTCTCCGCAACTTATAAATAGTCCCTATTTAAATCTCCTCAAATTATCCCAATTTGTATATGCCATCTGTTTCCTGCTGTGACATTGATTGATATAAGAAGCCTTTGAAAATTTTATGAATGCTAAGATCTTCTCTTCAAAAGTTAAAAAAAAAAAAAACCCACATAATTAAAATTATTTATTTCGATATTCATGAACCAAACCAAAATTATGCATTCATAAATATAAAAAGGATGTAGGTGGCATTTTGCAGCATTAAACAGAGAGAGATTTTGTTTAGTCAATTTCAGCAAACAAGGAAATTAATATCAACTCACAGATAATATCAACTAATCCAAGAGCATCCTTCTGAGTATCTGACCGGTGAATCATTGTTCCCACAAAAAGCAAAAGATAAATTGTAATTCTCTCCATTCTTTTGACCTTAGATGATATTTCTGACCTTTCTAGCCACTAAATGACTTCCGCTATAGTTGGAAAGCCCTTTTGCCATGGTTTTTCAAAGACCGTTTACCATCTTTTGACAAGTGTAAATTTGGTTTAATAGATTCTACTGTAGTAAAATGTGAACCTCATTTTTTGCCTGTATTTTTATAATACATATTCATCATGTGATATTATCTCTTCATATCCACGGAGCAGATATAATACTAATAGTAACACGAAGTGTGTGTAAGCAGGAGCTTTAGATTAATCTGGAGCTGGAAGAACGAGGAGAACATTTCCAGACAGCATCAGAATGGAAAGCACCAGCGCCCTGCCACTCACCGTGATTGCTGAAGGAATGTGCTATTGTTAACACAGCTCCCAGAAGAGGAAAAGCAGCCTTAGCATCATTATAAGATACAGCCTCTCCTCAAGAACCGAGAAAAATGCGAAGACAGGGAAGCCAAGGGCAGACGGAACGCTGACCCTCATCCAGGGCGCACCCAGCGCTGCGGGGGGAGCGCGCTTGCCTCTAGCTCCTTGCCCGTGTCCTGGGGAGATATAAGAGATTCCCCGCTGACCCTTTCTAATTCTCCCTCACCACAAACGTTTGATTTGCAGGTGCTGCACTTTCAAAGCTTATTTCTTCACCATTTAAACTTATCTTTGGGTATCAGCTGGTAAAAGATTAACAAGTATATTTACTTTGAGATAAAGATTTTTAAGATAAACGTCCTTGACACACGGAACAATTTTTTTATTGATAAAATATTAGAATTTCAAAGAAATGGCTTCTGATAGAATATTATCTACTACAGGCCTTGTGCTTCTGGTTGCGCAGCCAAGCATTTCTTCATGTGGAATTCTCTCCTTTTCTAGAATTCTTTGGGACTCTAAGAAGCCGTCTGAACCCTACCCCCACGTCATCACACAGCTCGGATTAACTGTAAAAACCTGTCCACAAGATGTATCTGAAAAGCAGTAAGAAATATTTTTTAAAATATTACTTACAATATCTAAACTTTAGGAAGTAAAAGCTACATTTTAGAAAAGCTAAGAAAACTAGTCGGCAAACTGCCTTCATCCTACAGAAGGATGTTAGGTAGCAACGCTTGACTCTAGATTCTACCCTGCAGTCTTGCAAAATGTATACCGATTGTGCTGGCAAATTTCTGCCTCCTCCTAGAGAACCCTAAGAAGTTAAGGTTCTGAAGGCAGGAATTTTGAGAAATACTTCATTAATCATGATTTTGAATAATTTATTCCATATTCAAATATGTTTTTAAGCCAGACACAGAGCTAGATGTTACAGGGAGAAGGGGACTATCCAGCAAGCCCAACCTGGAGAAATGGACTTGTGCTCAGCGAGGGTTTAGAAAGATCTATCAATTACTATAGAGTAAGGTAATTTGTTACAAGCATCTTAAGTTTGCCAAAGTACTATAAAGTTTCAAAGAAGGAAACCAAGGAGCATTCAGAGGGAAGGGATCAATACACAACTACATTTTTCTCTTCATTAAAAACCCTCTAATTATATGCAACACTTCAAAACAAGGCGCATATGCTGTGTTCTAACAAAATTAGCCATTTTAGTTCTTATTGCAACTTTCACAGGTCTGATTTTTCTCATAGTATCACTTGGTGGATTTAACTAGTAAGAATGACCTACTGCTGTCTGTTAGGCAATCACCAGAAAATTCATTTGTTTCACATGATTCATAAGAATCCCTAAAATGGCAGAGTGCCACTCAGTAAATTGCTGAATACATATGAATGCTGAAGTGTTATTAGTCAGATAAATCCTGATTGAAGAGATAAAATGGAAATATTATTTTATTCTGGTTCTTTCAACCTGATGTTATTCTCTCATTTCAATCTAGATGAGGATTTTAGCATGTTCTATGAAGATAAAACATGACTGTGAGAATCATTATAATAAAGTCTTAGAGTGCTTTGAGTATTAGTTTTCAGGATGCTTTCACAGCAGTACTTATTTGTTTTCTGATTAGTTTTGACTTACTTTCTTTCAAAGCACCTTAAGACATTGAGGGTGAGGCATGTGCAGGCTAGTCAGCCCACTTGCTTCTGCTATAGCTCACAGGGGGAATGAGCTGTTCTTCCAAGGACTCAGTCATGTTCAAAATATCTATCTGTCGACGCTGACAGTGAAAACAGAAAGATTAATGGGCAGAACACCAGGCAAGCTCAGTCATTGACTCAGTCCTCCTCCCTATACAGATCCTACCAGGACAAATGCTTAACCATCTCTGTACATCAGTTCTAGCATTTATAGGCGGGAGCGAAGGTACCTTCTCTGTGCTCTTCATTAGCTTGTTTTGAGAATAATGTGATAATGGGAAAATGCTGTATAAAACGTGGCCATGAAATAACATCAAAGAAGTCGTGTAAAATATGTTATTATTGCTTTCCCGAAATATTTTTACTTCATTTATAAGTTCAGAAATAGGCAACGTTCTGTATAAATGTGAAAAGAAATTTTAAGAAAATATGGCATGACCTGAAATCTGTTTCTAAGGCAGTGCTGGAAAATTAGCCTGGTGACTTCCAACAAGAATTTGTAGAAGTCTAAGAATTTTTATGGATTTACAAACAAATGGTTTTACCTAAACAAGATGAACTTCAGAATGGAGTAAATATCCCAGAAGGCCTCATTTGGGGCAGATGAAGAGTGGCCTTAACCCCTAGAGAGGTCAACCTCTATTCCAAAGGTTTGGATAAGGACTCAGTTTCAAAACGTGTGCAAGAAATCACTCTAAGGAAAAAGGTAATTAGAAAATTTCTCTTTGCCCTTTATAAATGGATGTAAATCATTTTTGTTTACCCTTACACCATATAAATTGAGAAATGGAATTGCCCATCATCCAGGCCTCCTCTCTCTTCCCCACAGCCAGCCCTCTTCCTAAGCCCCTGCTATTTCTAGTAAAGTATTACTTATCACAAGATCTTGTTATCTTGTATGACTTTAGGTACCTAAGAGGCCATGGATCAATGTTTAGTGAATCAAATTAATCACAATTCGACCACTATATTGAAAAATTGTGACTCAGTAATTCTTTTTATTATTGCAGAAATTAGTGACAGAGCAGCCAGTCTAAAAGAAAACACAGCTGAAACTAAGTCAAATATCATGGACACAAATTTCAACGGGAGGAATTACCATTATAGAAGTTCAGAAAATCATGTTGCAAGAAATCCGATACAAAACCAATGAGTTGGGTTTGTATAATTGATGTAGATCCCAATAAGAATGCTCTTCACTTACTAAGACTTTGAGTTTGGACAGCTTTGTTTTAAATACTAGCATTGTGATTTCTAGAGATGTATAATCTTGGACAGCTTTCTTAGCATCCATTATGTCTATCTTATAGAAGCGTTTGAAGATTAAATGAAATATAAGTAAAGTATTTAGAAAAGTACCTGGATCTTCAGGATGAGGCAGATTGGGGATTAAGGGTTTAAAAGCTTTGATTTGAATTCATCAGCTAGAAATGGAAGAGAACACTCCAAATGAAATGGATCAGATAAGAAAAGGCATATGATGTCTGTTTCATGTTGGAATATTTAGGACAATGGTTCTCAAATCTAACAATATCAGAATCACCCAAGCATCTTTGTGCAAAAATATTTTTTATTTTGATCCTACTCTCAAACTTGGAATTTAGTCTTTAGTAGCTCAGATATTCTGATCATTGGCTACAATTGGGAACAAATAGTGTAGAGTCTAGGTAAAGATATAGTGAGGGATATACTTGGAAATTTGGGAGGCATGGTGAGAAAAATATAAGGGATGGAATGCCAAGTTAAGGAATGTGGCCTTCACTTGCTAAAGAGTGACCCATCATGACATATTTTTTGAACAAGAGGGTGCCATCATGCTCAAAACTCTGCTTTACAAGGACAAATTTGCAGTAATGGGAAGTAGATTAGGGCAAGGGTAGACTTGAGAAAGACTAGTTATGATTCTACTGATAGACTGGTTTAGACTCTGTTAGACTAGTCCAAGGAAAACTTGAGTGGCTGGGGTCAGGGAGGTGGTACTGAGCTTCATGCAAGAGAGCAATCAAGGTTGAATGAGGCCAGTTAGTTAACATTGAGAAAATACGCAGTTATGCAAAGAGGGTCATGTAAAAATATGGAATATAATTTAAAATAAATACACAGCTTTTAGTTTAAATAATATTAGGAAATTATTATGAATCAAAATGTCTTGAAATTTGAATCGAAATCAAAAATAAAATAAGTTACCAGCTGCTGAGTGGAAAGTGTTGGTGAGTACCACTGCTTAACTGTGAGCTGGGCTCCACCTATTTCCTCTTCCCCTGAGGTTATCTCTAAAACTCTCAGTCACTCCTTTTCATTCTCTGAGGATGTGGAGACTTGTTTTATTCATATGAATGACTCATCAGACACCTCCTGAAAACTCCTTCACTTCCTAGATTCTGACAGCCCACACTTCCACCACACTGCAGCCACACACAGGTCCACTTTTAAAATAAAAA